AATATTTGATAATGCTGTTGAGTGGGTTTGCTAGAGACTGTACTAACTTGTATGGTTCCTTTCACTCTCAGCTGACACTCAGCACTTCTCAGGGATGATATTAAAAATACTTCACAACTTGGGTCAGCCTGGGTCCTGACCAATCACGACAGATGCTGGCCATAAGCTAGCAGGTGGAAGGTTCTGGATGGTCCTGCTCATCAGTGAAGGCTCTTCCTCCCCCTCCCTGGCTTCACAATCTCCTTCCCTGCCCCTGGATCCATATCCAAACAAAGTTCTGGTTTGACCTTTCTGCTCCTCCTGTGGTCTCACTCTGGGTAAGTTCATCAACTGGAGACAGCTTCTGTGTCTCAATGACTTCCGGTGTCTCCAGCTACTTATGGAAAATTTCTATTTGGATAACATACAGAACTTTTAAACTCAACAGGTTAAAAATCACACTCGGTATTTCCTCCCCATTCTCTTCCCTGGCCACAAATGCAGGAGTGTGTGAGTGTGCAATCATGTGTGTGTGTGTGCATGCACACACACACACATACACACCATCTGATAGGTGTGTATGAGAATGTTTCTCAAAACATTCCTTTCCTTGACTTCTATGACACCACTCTATTCAATACAGATATCAGCGGCCACTTTTCACACTTTGGAAAACTCTATGAGACAAATCTAGAGATAAATTTGCTCAGCGCTGGAGATGTAGAAATAACTGCAGGTGGACAGTAAATTCACCCAGCTACGGATTACGGTATTACTTCCCATGGCTCCGCTCCTCTGCTAGCCCACAATTCACTGAACTCCTGAAATAGGAATTCCAGCTTCCCCAGTTCACCTCCTCTCTTAAATGCAATAAAGCCTTAACAGCCAGGGTTACAGATCTGTGAAAAGTGCCTGATAGTACCATAGTAGGTTGTAAGCAAAGTCTTTTTAAAAACAGAAGATTTTACTTTGGCTGGTAGGCACAAGGTGCAATACACAGATCTTGTAACATAGAAACCTACACCTGAAAACTGTCTGTTCAGGTTGACCAATGTCACCCCAATAAATTAAAAAAACACACACACCTGGTTTTAAACAATGGGTGCACATGAACTGGGGGCTACCATCAGCAGCCCTTTTTCCAGGCCGGAGGCACCCAGTGAGTGATTGTTGCTACCTTGTCATGAACAGACACTGACACCATCCACATTGCCAGCTCCCCAGGAGAGAGGAAGTGAGACAAATGAAAACTCAGGTGTATTTCCCATTCAATGGAGGTGATCAACCCAATGAGCCATCAGCCTCAGAACCCCTAAATGCCATTCCACATACACGGCTGCATCTGAGGCATTCTCAGGGGAGGCTGAGTGAGGTCTGCAGGCCTCTGGGCAGCATGAAGACAGAGCTCTCTAGGGCCTGTTTGCCTTTTTTATCTGACTCCTCCTCAGCTCCCTCAGATCTGGTCAAACCTGGAGAACTGACTCATGTTAACTAGGATCACAGAAACTGGCAGACCACAAATTTACTCTAGATTTATGAGAGGGGATTAGGTTTAATGCCCACAATATATATTTTTACTATCTTGAGTGCCAACGTTTTTCAGAAACTGCCTAGATGTTGGAAGGTGAACTAAAAACCATTTTGGCGAATGAAACATTTCCCAAAGTGGATCCCTTGGAACGCTGGCTCCAAACGATACTTCATAAGAAAGAGTGTTCTGTGGCCAAATGAAGTTGGCAAGCATTCCATATCATGGCATCATCCTAAAAACCCCCAATGGACAGTCTAATGATAAAGGCACTGAAAATCCTACACTGGAAAAACCTTAGTTTACTCTCATATATGTATTTTACCACTGCGACTCTTTAGTAATTCTTTAGCAAAGTTTCATCCTAAAACTCAACAGGGTAAATTCTCCTCTGAGCACAGCCGCCTCTAGCGAGTCAGCTGTGGTACAGCGAAATGATTACTGGATCTGAGCCCTAGTTTTAGCTTTGGTACTGGGACCTCTCCAAGCCTCTCTTTTCTCACCTACAAATGGAATTAATAACATTGTTTTGAGAAACATATGAAGCATCCTGTCTAAGAGCACTTTATAAAGTGCCATAAAAATATGATTCCCTGCTAATGATATACTTCTTGTTGTATAACTCCTCAAAATGCATTTATAGTCCTGACCAGTGTGGCTCAGTGGGTTGGCGCATCGTCCTGTGCACTGAAGAGTCACAGGTTCGATTCCCAGTCAGGGCACCTACCCAGATTGCAGGTTTGATCCCTGGTCAGGTTCATGCCAGAGGCAACCAATACATGTTACGCTCTCATATTAGTGTTTCTCTCCCCTTCTCTCTAAAGTCAATGAAAAACATATCCTCAGGTGCAGATTTTTTTTTAAATGCATTTATAAAGGGATATTTTTGTTCATTCTTTCAATACCCATTCTTTGAGTGCTAATCTGGAAGAGCTATGACCTGGTTTTCGACCTCAGGAAATTCAGACAGTGGGCAAGTGGGGTCCAATGCATACTGCTCATAAGAGATACAGATACAAGTAATTCTGGGATTCTGAAGTGGGTGCCTCGCCAGGAAAAGGAGGAGGGAAGTCAGGGAAAGCTTCCCAGCTGAATCTTAGGAATCTTGAAGGATCATTAGGAGGGTTGGATGGATAGGGGGAGTGGGACATAATGCCAAAATGATATCATGTGGGGAGTATGTGAAGAATGGGCCCCCTTGCAAGGAGGAGAAATAACTTATCTGACTCTTCCAAGCAGAGGAAGAGACTTAGCTCAGTAAGGAGGTTGTTTCTTGAGAGCAGAACTCCTCTTTGGAGTAGTGACCCCTAAAAAGGCTGGGGGACATTGGGTGGAGATAAGAAGGCTGTTGGGAAGTTATCTCTAAAACCAGCACATACCATAGCCCTACAGGGAGTCAAGTTCCTGCCATCTACCCCTGCATGAGGGTCAAGTGTAGGCTATTTTAATTTTTTTCTGCTTAATCTGCAGGAGAATGTCACTAGACAAGGAAGTCCGGTAGCAGGCTGGGCCTTCTCTCATGTCCCCAGCTTCCAACTGCTGAGAGCAGACTTCTTAAACCTCAAGGCTACTGTCTCCAGCTTTCTTCTCCAGTCCCAAAGGCAATGGCCTCTCACCGTCCAGGCCCCTCCCAATCCCTGGCTCCTGATACCCTCCAGGGAGGTTCCAGAGCACTGGGAACCCACCAATGTGGGAGAGACAAATTGGAACCTGAGGCAAAAGGGAAAATGTGTGCCTCTCTGTACACTTATCAAAACATTCTCCCGTATTTGAACTAGGTAAAAAGTAAATAAAAGCTGCACAGTCAAAAAACCTGACTGTATAGAAAGTCAGCACTGCCTAATCTGTTGCATGTTTATGTTCTAACCCTCATAACCCTCCAAGTGGGGACTAGACACAGGGAGGGCATTTGGAAATGACTGTTCACCATTGCACAGGATGCAGGGTCATCACACCCACCCATCTTTATTGAAAATGTTGGCATTTTATTCCTCGTAGCTTTTTTACATTATATCTGACTTTTAAAATGTTGCTTTAAAATACTATTTATCTTAATTACTGCGAACCACCAAGTGTTTATTTTTGCTGCAATATTTACACAGTCCTGCTGGTTGAAGAATGCTGAGGTTTCCTTGTTGATAACAGGATGTTCCTAAGAAACCCCAGCGAGCCTGAAACTCGCAGGCTTGCAAGCAAGTGCGGCTCCACTACCAGCGAGGGCAGCGTGGGCCTCCTGGCTGAATTCGGAAAGCCCTGAGGATTTGAGAGCTTTAAGAAGAGAGGAGCCTCTTGGGGCCCAGGGGGCCGGTATTGCCCTGTATTTCTTGGCAACATCTCAGAGGCTCTAAAGCCGAATTCTGCAAACCCTGCAGTCTCCCGGCCGTCGAGGGGCGCCCTGTGACGGGTGGGTGGATGCTGCGCCGTGGGAATAGAGGCCAAGGGTGGAGGCCTCAAAGTGGGAAAGTGGCCCTATCCCTTCCAGGCAGGAACCCTGGGCTGCTGCTCCTCCGCCAGCAGCGCCATCAATCACCGCTGCAGCCCAGTCGCCCCCAGCCAGGACTCACCGACCCCCTCCTGCTGAGGCTAATTCCCGAGGGAGCAAACCTCGGCCCAGAGCGTCCGCCTAGCGCTCAGGCGGGGCG